AAACAGCAGCTGCCATCTGGACTTATGACTAAACTCTAGTATGGTTTTGCTCAAGTTGGAGGGTAACTCCTAATACCGTTTTTAGTTTTACCTTTGAATTCATGTTCTTAGCATTGCACAGTTTCATCGTGTTGAGGTTCCTATCTAACAACCTTCTTTGGTGTGCGGCTATAACGTTATCGCTTCATTCAAATAAGTCTACTCCTGTCTGTATGAATGACATCGGTTCGGTTTTAAAAATGCGTTTCTGTGAAGGTAATCATGTGAACTCATTGACTTAGTTGGTAATTTTGGCGTTTAACGTGTCTACTTCGTGGTATTTTGTTTCCAGGAAACAGAATGACAATATTGAACCGCTGCGGATGCAGGTAGACTCCCTGCTCTCGGATCTTTCGGTAATCCACTTTATTCTCTTATTTGCCTTTGCTTTTTATCTACTTACCCGACATACCTGGAGCATGTTAAGGTCTTTACCTCAATATGAAATATCTAGGTTGTTTCTCCGCTTCTCAAGCGCGTCTACCGTGTGCCGCGCAATCTTATATCCAGGAGGGCCTGTAGACAGCTTTGCACAAGAATAAGCGGCAGGCATGACTTCTGTTATAACCTTGTGTGAGCACCTGCCTCGACACTTGTTATATCCCCCCAATTGTATGTTAGGAAGGGAAGGCAGACAGGCTAGCAGGGAATATTTTACTGTCACTGTTTCTGCTTGTACTTCAGCTCTGTCTTCTGTGTGTCCGGCAGCTTGTCTTGTGTCCGTGAGCAGCGTGTCTTCTGTCGTCGGTCTCGTGTCGGCAGTAGAATTTCCCCTAGAGCAACAGAGTGCGCCTTCTGTTCACAGGCCCGTATTTAAGGGCCAGCCGTCTTTGTTCTCTATTGGCCCCTCTGCTAGTGGCCCACAGAGGCAGCCATCGTGCGGCGACCTCGGTGTGACAGCCCGGTGGCTCTGTCATGCGTACGCGTAACCTTGCGACCTCGGGTGATGTCTGTTGTTGTTGTTGTAATGCCCAGGCCGAGATATTGCCGCCCAATGACGTCCTCTGTGAGTCCCCAAAGGGAGAACACGACAAGAAGGGTGCAACGGCAGAAGTCTTTGAGTATTAGAGGTACAACAAATTTAGGGAAACAAACGTGTGTAAACTATGTCCATTGAACCAACCAGATTTCCTTCTGAAAGAGTGGCCGGTCCCATTGGCTGTTTGGCTCAGTGGATGACTGTAGTTTGAAATCTGAACTATCG